AGCTTATAAGAATACACATGACAAAAGGTTTGGTTTACCCTGTTTTGTTCATGCAATTCTGTTCCTGTCTGTCTCTCCTTGTAACTTAATTTGCACTCCTTCCTTTGGTTTTAGCCCTTGTTTTGAATCTCTACTTTTGCTCTCCTGTACTCAGAGCTTTCTTTGTTCTCCTATAGTCAGTGCTTTAATTAACTGTGTGAGTGACTCTTTCCCCCGAGGCTACTTAGGCTGTATACAGCCTAAGTATTTCTATAGTAATCCTTCTTTTTTCTTTTTTTTTTATGTATATAAAAGCTTATAAATGTTCTAACAAATCTTCTCTTGTTTGTCTTTCAGGTACCCTAGTCAACATGTCTATTGTTCAGAGCAGAGCTTGTCCGGCTCAGGTCAGCCTCGACAGGAGAAAGATCCTGATGGCCTCGAGCAGGAGCAGGACTCCACGCAAAACAAGGTGTGTAGAAGTTCTGGCCTTTTCATGTATCTCAGCTTTTGATGAACAACTGTAACGAATTACAATTTGGAGACTTGTATAATCATTCTTAATGTGAAAAACAGAAACCGTCATCTTAACTCCAAGTTGTACCTGTGGGAGTTGGGTCATGAACTTTAGTGACCCAGTAAACGTTGACGAAAAAATGGGCTGGTGTGTTTGCTAAGTTGGCACCTATTGAGCCAGTTTTAGGCTCCAAGGCCCTTCTTTTTTGGCTAAGGTTCTTGTTATTTCAGTGACCTGCTGTTCTGAGTAGGAAAGTCTTCAATTAGCAGTGTTTAAATGGAGTACACCTTTAAGCTAACTTATTTAAAAACTCACTGATATCCTGGAGACCAATATGTTGGTCCGTCAGAAGTGGATCACTGTCTGCCCAACTAAAATTCTTGTTTTACAAATAAGGTTAGGGAGCATTTTCGAAGTATCCCTCCAGCAATTAATAATTATATATATTTTTGGGTAGGATCATATCAGACACTCTGGGCTTTTATTGCCTATTTTCTTTATCTTCTTCCTGTGATCTGATGGCTCATAAGTGCTGTATTTCAATTAATACTTTGCCAGTGTTGCGATGTTTATAATAGCCTAAAGATACCCAGCTAGCTGTTGAGTGGCAGATAAATGTGTCAACTAGTGTAAAACCCTCCAAAATCTTTCTAGTATTTACTTTTTTCTTCGTTACATTAATCACAACCCATCTTTATACATCAACTAGGTAACTATAGCTTACCAATACCTTCTAACATCTGGAAGAACGGCTCCGCTGATCACTTTAATGGAGTTTAGTGAATCTGGGCTGTTTTTAAACATGAATGGTACCACTGAACATCTTTGCTTTAGGCAAACAAAAGAGTATTTGGATCTGAAAATGGCTAATTACATCAGACTTAACAAGCACAAAGAGAACCGGAAGACTTTATCTGGGAACACAATGAAAAATAGCTTCCTGAGACTATCCAAAGTGTAGTCGGTGGCTATCCAGGCCAAGACTTCCTGTTCCATCTGCCACCATCAAATGTTGATAAGATTAATAAAATGACAATCTGAGTAGTTGGCAGACAATAATCGATGGTTATGACACTGCATTTTGGAGAGAAAAAAAATAGACAATTTAAATTTTCATTAATTTATGATGGAAAACAACAAAATTTTACACTTTCAATTACTCTTGCACTCACAGATATGCAATATAATCATTGTCCCTAATCGAAATAGTTGTAATTATTTTGTATATTTTTGTGTATCTTCATCTATTAATCGCACTTGTGTGGAACTCAAAGTCAAAGATGCTTTTTTTCTTCTTCTTCTTTAGGTTATATTTATGCAGAAATACAGAAAATGGGGCTTGTAAACTCTATACGGGTAGGAGATAATGAAAGGGAAAATGGCATTGGTTGTTTAACTTTAAAAACTATAAAATGATAGTGAAGGTCTTCCTCAAGACTTAAAATTACATGTGGTGGAAAAGTGGAACCAAATCCAGGTAAATGGTTACTCACAAAGCTGAGTAACCAGCCCAGTTACACGCTGTCAGAACCTGGTCTGCTCTGCAGAATCAGTCATAGAGGTTGATGTGATTTAGGTTACAATCTGCCCTGTGGGTTCAAACTTGAAGCTCTACATGTTTTCTCAGGCTTTCGTGGCTAAATATTGTCTAAACTGAAAGTAGTTCATACAAAGTGTGTCGACATCATTGCAGCCATTCGAAGTAGGACAAGGAAAATTGTAGATCGCCTCACTTTTAAAAAAAAATTGAAATGCTTCTCTGTATTCATGTGTCAGTGAGTAGCAGAATGAATGATAATTTGGGGAAGTGAATGAGTTTTGGTATGCATTTGTGGGCACAGAAGAAAAAGAATCATTGTTTGAGGTCCAACAACAAACAGCCCTGCCAGCAGCCCTGGCAGTCGGTCATTAGCCTTATAATGTTGCCTTTGTTAATCGACAAAAGGCTTTTTCACATCAGGAGATGGAAAGACCTTTTGCTTTTGACATTTTTACATGCAAAAAACTAACTTTTAGAATAAAACTCAATCTAGTAACAATGCCAGTAATGTCATTAACTTGTATTTCTTATCCTGTGTTCTTATTATTTATTTTCTCCTAGGTGGTGGAAGAGTGGAAGACACACACATCATACGATATGGGGCTAGAGACCGAGAGAGCAGCACGAGAGCAACTACAAAAACAAAGCATACACCATGAAGAGGTAAAAAGACACATCAGTTATTGGAAGTTTTCCAGAGTATCGCTCAAAAAGTTAAGTTACAGTGAACAGGATACTAAGGCAGGCTTTAAAAAAAATAGTGTCAATATAAAAAGGGAAATTGAGGTTGTAAATACCTTAAAGGTGGAGTGTGAGGCAGAGCTCAGCTTTTAAGTGTGCACCATAAACTCTTAAAAGTATATTGTGTACGTGGGACACAAACACATGAACTGGAAAAGGAAAATGATGAATAATGTTGATCTTAATCGGATGGCACTGATCTAGGTGAGCAGGTAAATTGCATCAGAAATAGGGCTGTGCGATATGACCAAAATCTCATATCCCGATATAAGACATCTATCGTCCGATAACGATATAAATCACAAAAATTTAACATTTTCTGTGAATCTAGGGTAGCTCGACTTGCGTGAAGTGCTTCCAGCTGGGCGTCGTGTACCTGGACTCGAGTGTTTTAACTGATGCATGAAACTATATATTTTTTTAGACATAAGTTGTAACGGCCACAGTTTTCTTTGTGAGTATTTATTACACGAAGTGCTGCGGGGAAAAGCCTCTTCTAACTTTTGAGTCTAAGGTTTTTTGTTTTTGTTTTGTTTTTTTTAGCACCTGACGGCTATTTTTTGCTTCTCATCCGTAGATACTCTGCATACTCCTTCACGTGATTCAGTTTATTTTGAAAAGTCTCAACAGGATCTTGAGCTTTATTGTGAAAGGTTTATGCGGAAAATAAACAAGCGGACAGCGATGGTTTTACCGTCGTTGTTGCTAATGACAACGCATAAAAATAGGCGCTTGTCCGTCTGAAGTGTGGTTATATTAAATATAAGAGAAAGAGAGAACTTTAAGAAATGAATATAACCACTACGGTGACCATCAAAACGATGAAAAAATATTGCCGTAAATGTTTATTTTGCGACACCACGAAACAAACGTTAGCGTAAAATGAAACGGTAGATGTTTTTATATCGGCATCCGATATATATCGTTATGTCGAACAGCCCTAATCAGAAATGTACGTATTTCTTCTGTTACCAGACTGTGAAGTCACAAGAAGCTGGAGAGGAAGAGACAAAGCTAGACCCAGAGTCAGATACTGTACCTGTTGCCCCTGAGCCAGAACCTACCCCAGATCCCCAGGCTGACTTGGGCCTGCAGATTCACACACAGGACCACGACCATGATGCCCCAGTGCTCGCCACTCCAGAACCAGTTCCAGCACAGGGCCAAGTGACCACAGATACCCCAGCAGAGACTTCAAGTGAACCAATTCCCAATCTAGACTCAAACCCAGACACATCCCCCGATGAAGCTGAAAACAAACCTACCTCACAGAGTGCTGGGCTGACCCACACAGGGTAAGCACAGATTCACTTCATCAAGCCAATGATCTGGTGTATTTCAAGAGAAGTTGGCTATAACCACAAAACTGAAATTGGAGAACTGAATTTCTAATCCTACATTGCTAAAAAAAAAACAACAACCCACAGAACATGTTGTTCTTCTTAAGGTTAAAGCCAATTTCACAACAGTCCAGGTCTAACGTAATCCGTTTCAGTGCCACTATTGTTATGTCAGACATTGCAAAGGTGTTTTGGTATTTTTGTTTGACTTATGTTTCCCTCAGTTGCTTTTTCTTCACAATTATTTACACAAAGCGACTCATCACACACTAGAAGATGAGTCTAAAGAAGATCTGACCCCATGGATGTTTCAGTTATTTTTCATGGAGCATTGTGCTGGAGCAAGGGACTGTTTATTTATTTTTTTCTAATGGTTTTTGTAATGGAAGTTTAAAAAAATAAAGAGAATCATCCCTATGGACCTGGAACTTTAACCCAGATTAGTCTAAATATCTCCTACAACAACAACATGTCCTTCCCATGGTATCTTCTGTATTCAGAACTGGGACATTTCAATCAGCATTTCAAGTCCTATTCAGCTAGCCACCAGCAGCAGCCAACCACTCTGCCCCCCTCTTCCTTTTCTCTCCCTCCCGCTCTCATGCCTGTGTCGTTTATCTCCTCCCCATTGTCCCCATCCCGCCCTCTCCCCCTACCTTCCACCCTACCCTCCTGTCTACCTTCCCCAGTGTAAGGAGGTGTGGTAAACGCCATGTCCTTTCTTTCCCTCAGTGCAGTGCGGGTTGCCAGTGCAGGAGATGAATTCCCAGTAGACAGCTTTGTCTTTGCTGAGCACTCTGATTCACAGTGCGGGGTCATTCCCCCCGAACTGGCAACCTGTGAAAGCTCCCCTTTTGGCAGCCCTCTCCTCAGGTGAGTTTCTAACCACCAGAAGCCAATCAAAGCACAGAGACTGATAATGAAGGTACAAGCTACACCTCTCTGCTGTGCCCAACCGTCGACCGCTGGCCTTGCTCTCTACTTAATGTTGCTTTTTTTTT